TCTCTAACATTCTGTGATTCTGTGCTTTTACTGTTGCTAAGACTTTGAATGAGAAGGGTGCACCAGTGAAAATGGAGTTAAGATGTATTGACTGTGGTACGTTTGGGACTTTTTTTTGAGTAGTGTCTTAGGTTCTCTGAATTTTACATCAAGGGCTTTTGCTTGCTTATATAGGAGTCCTGAGTCAGCATTTATATGTGAGCCCTGTCAATGTTTACTACAATATAATGCTTGTCGCTGGGGTAATCCCCTTGTCTGCAATGATATTGTCATGGGAATAGGCACTATGCCTCCCAGCATTGACTATAGTTAGTTACCAGTGGCCAGCTCATTAAAATCTTGCAAATGACCTCCTGGTTTAAAACAGTGCATTAAAAGAAGCTGGAAAAGAGTTTCATTCCTCTTCTGTTTCTTGTGTCTTTCACTGCTGAGTGATTTATGCAGTAATTTTTATAAACCCACTCTTAATTTTTGTTAGAGGTGGTGTTGAGCTTCTCCCTTGAGAAACACTGTTACACTCCAGTGTATAAAAGCTGCAATTGTGAATGAGCATAAAAACAGCAAAAAAGTAATCCCCCTCATTTTGATTAAAGTGTCTTAGTGCCTCATTAGTTTAGATCCTGTAGTTTCCCTTTAATTTGACAGGCTGAAAGGCAACTTTTGATATCTTACAAGAAAACTGTAGTACCAGGCCAGGCTATTTATAATAAAGGTGTGAAGGAAAACACCAGTAATTAGTGACAACAATTTGATTAAACAAATGTACACAAATTAAAAGTTTATTTTAAAGAACAACTCCTTTATTTGGCAGTCTGATGTTGTTTGCATCTCCACTCAGCTAGTGCAGGCCATTGCTTCGCAGTGGGGGCTGCCATTTTGATAACACAGCCCTTATGTCCCAGCAGGGGTCTGATTTGATGATGCAAATATAGAAGGTCAGTTTTCACTTATTAAACCTTATTTGGAGCTGCCAGCAGGCCAACAGCAATCTCTAAAGCCGTGGGGCAGGCTGGTAGAACAAAAGTTTGCTCTTGTTCTTTCCTCTCTTTATCTCTGCCTCCTATGACAATTAATAGCACCAGGGAGCTTCAGCCGTGCTCAGAGACCTTTGCTTTGATCACTGCTAAATGAATGCTAAAAAAGGAAAGCCCGTGTGTCAAAAAGCTTGTACTAGAATGTAAGAGAACACAGATGGGGCAGTGCAAGTAAGTGTTAATTCTGTCTCAATTAACTTGATGGGCAGTAGTTTCAGAAGATATTGGGAATTTGGGAGGGTTATCTGTTTAACCATGTTTTATGTGTCTTACTGAGGGATATGAGGAAAGAAGATGAAGTACCTTTGGAGGTGCTAGTGGGGCTAAAAGTGCCTGTACACAGTGGCTCAAATAAGGGCAGTAAGAGAGTCTCCCAAGCATGTGAGCAACACAGTGGTTGTATCAAAGCAAACAGTGAATGGAAAAGTCTGGCATAATCCCTGGGTCAAAATAGGCATTGATTATGGTTTCTTAGTTGAGTGAAAGAGTGGCAGCATGCCACAAGAAGACACACAACAAAGAGAATTAGACTGTGCCTAAAGCCATAAAGCTAGAAGAAATATGTGGAGAAGGATGACACAGTGAAGGCTTTTTCCCGTTCTTCATGGAGGCAGCATTTTGACAGAATGAATAGGGCAGAGTACCAGGCCAAACACTTGTTATACTAATCAAGATGAGAGGTAGAGAGGCTGGATGAGCATGTTTTTAACTCTGTGTGAACAGCAAAAGCCAACTCTTAATATCCTTCTTGTCTACTTGTACAGCAGCTTATACAGCACTTAAGAGGTGGTAGGCAGAAGCTCCCCTGTGCGTAGATCCTTGTTAGATGACCATTTGGTCATAAACCTTAAGAAGAGTCAAATACTTGATCTTTAAGTGGCTAGTTTTAAACTCTGATAACCTTCCATAAGCAAAATGGTGTCTTGAAATTCAGTATGTGCCCTTTTCCATATTTAGACAAAGTTAATGTACGTGTGGGTGGGTTTTAAAACCTCAGTTTTTATATTGCTTTGGATGTGTCGGCTTGAGAAATGGTTTGAACACGTCTCCATATCTTCAGATCTTAATATGCTGTTTCCACATTAAGCTGACAAACTCATTGCATTGAACAGTTGTATGCATTGTTTGTTCTTATGTCTGAAATCTCAACTTTTTCAACAGAGCCCTTCTGCTTGGCACACTACCCGTCAGCCTTTCACAGTGTGATGTTTAATCCAGTAGAACCCAGATTACTGGCTACTGCCAACTCTAAGGAAGGTGTGGGACTCTGGGATATCCGTAAACCTCAGAGGTAAGATCTAGCTGTCCTTGTCTTGTGCTATTTCTTTCATTTGAGAGGTGATGGCATGCCACTCTCTCTCTCTTTTTTTTTTTTTTTCTTTTTAAGTCGGAACACATGATGGTAAGAAAAGATGTGGAACAAAGTTAACAGCAATGTTAGTAACGCTGAATGAAATTGTTTTGTGTAATTAACATTCTTCTTCATACATTCAATCTAATTTGATTTAAAATGGGGCTACATCTTCAATGTTAAGGTAAGCGATGTTTTGGAAGCCTGCCTGGCCTCACCACTGCACAGTAACTTGTATTGTTGTGTTGAGTTCATATCATATTTAGTACTGGTTTGCTAATACTGGAAGAATCCATGGGGGGCACTGCCTGGTTTACAGGTTGTTTTTTCTACCCAGCTCAGTTTTCAGTGGCTGACTAGAGATTGTGGTCAAGGCAGCTTTTTAATCAACGCTTAAGAGTTTTATATGACTTCCTAGAAACCTGAATAATCAGTTTGTCTGCATAATGTGCTTCCAGATCTGCATAGGATTTTAAACAAATGAAAGGAAGATAATAAGTTTGCAGTATGAAGTGTGTTTAGACTGGGTTCTAAAGTGGACGTATGCAACGTCTGATACTAGACTTTTGAATGCATGAGAGATTAAGCAGGTGTTGAAGTATTTTTCAGTCTTTCAGATTTTGAAAGTAATTATATTTTTTATCATAGTAATCATAAAAAAAAAAAAATTGAGCCCCTCAAGTAAATGTTTCTCCTTTACCCCCCTGACTTTTATGTTTACATGTTTCCAGTTAAAAGTGTAAGCTCAGAAGGGAAAATTTCAAAGAAGTGAAAAGAGGGGAAAACAGGTGGTACTTGTTTTACAGTACAGTAGCCCCAGCTATGTAAAATCTTCCAGAGTGTACACTTGACTGTCCCCTTATTGGTGATTTTCTTGGAATATCTGGAAGTGCATATCACTAAAAATTCTTCTTAGGTTTGTACTGTACAGAGAGGGGAAAAGCAATGAAATTAATTATAACTGTCTGTAAACAAGTTCTAAAATGTTTAGACATCCATTGCAATAGCAACCAAATTATGGTTTCAGGAGGCTTTATTCATAAATTGTAAACATTAATGGTTTGAATTGATCTTGATTTTTAAGCTTGAATTGGAATTTGCACGCTGACACTGGAGGCTCTGGAGCTTGTTCACATTTGTAAAGTTTGCCAGAGCCCTTGTTGGCAGCAGTTGTACTGTCTGCTGTCAAATTTAGGTTTGATAAAATTTTAACTGGAAGGGAGTTAGGAAGTTGCCTAAGCTATCTTCTCTTATCCTTGTCAAACTCTTTTATGTCTAGGTGTTAGTAAGTAGCTTTCTAACCTCAAACTAACTTCAGCATTTTCTGGATAGAGGGAGAGAAAAAGATGTTAGGGTTATTTTGCTCTTACAAAACATGTTTCTTTTTTTTTTTCCCCATAAAATTTCTGTCATTTTAACTTCAGTTCATGCCTGTTTTTTTCACTGTGAACTAATACAGGCAAAGTTGGCTTCCTCTTGCCAAGCCAGCTGGCCTCATACTGGTTTTGCAGGATTCTTTGTTTTTTCAGCTTCTGCCTCAATTTTGTGATTTAAGAACTTTTGAGGTTGTGTTTTCGAAAGGGGGTTACACCAAAACATTTCTCTCTTTAGACTTTTATTCTCAGAATGTTAATATAAAAGGAATGATGTTGATAGAGTGGTATAGCTTATATCCATAGAAATTCTGTATGAATGCAAAATTTAGATGAAGTCTTTTACTTGGGTAGCAAAGTTAAATGAGATCACCTCTGGAAAGGTTGTACAAGGCTAAGAGGAATAGAGAGAGGAAGTAAGTATCACTAAGGATACAAGCATTCACCCTGATAAGTAATCTGCTCCTGCATTTGAGGAAGGAATTTTCTCCTCTTACAAATTTTAACAGCTGCTTTCTAATAGCAGAACTAGTGCCTCTTTCTTACTTTTAGCTATTCTCATTAAGACTTTCACCTCCAAAAGTTTCTCAGCTTTTATATGAAAGTGTTGATGAGCTATATTGCTTGGGGTGGCAGAAGCTATCAGGTCCTGGAAACTGAGATGATCTCCAGTCTAGATGCTGTCCTGCCTTCTTCCTCAGTCCTAACCACAAGGCAAAGTGCTTGCTGTGAGCTTGTTGGGGGCTACTGTGTGCATGGCATAATATAGTCTGTGCTCACACATTTAAGGACACACATTTTTAGCTGTATTTTGGCTTTCAGGTTGTAATCTGATCTAAGTAAAACTTTCCAATTAAAAAGCTAAATGGTGACAGTTAAATATACCTTGCAACTACAGTGCTGAAATTCCTAGGTGGATAGGTTACACCACTTTTTCCTTGCATAGAGAAATGTCTACAACACCCTTATTGTACAGCTGAACATACACCATGTATACCATGCAGCTGTTCCCTTAAGCACTGAGTTTAAACCATTTGCACCTACTAGGTGTAGTGCATTGTGTAAAATAGACACATGCTTCCTTGCCTGCAGACTGCTCCTCCCAGAGGACTCAGAAACAGCAAAGTGAATAGTAAGAGACAGGCTGCTCCTCACAGTGTAAGTGCTGTTGACTGATATTTAGAGCCTCAGACTTGGGCTCAGCAAGTTGTAACTTAAATGGATGCAGGTGATAAGTGTGCTTTCAACTGCTATTTTTGTGGGATAGCCATCAGCTTTCTTCCTTTGCTTGATCAGAGATGTGCCCAAAACATGGTGAGAAGGGTATGCCTCGCTGAGGGAAAGAAAATGGCATAAAGCATTCTGCTGCCACTGCAGTTTGTTCCTAGTAAACTCTTGGGCAGGAAGACTCTTCAGAGCAATGTGTGTCTTGCTAATGGGCTGCCAAAGCCAGAGTCCCTCATATTTTAATAAATTAGACTGGATTTTTAGAGTCTTTATTAAAGTAACAGAGCATTTGCCAAAACTCCCAGTGATCTCTGCAGGTCTAGTTTGCTAATCTAGAAATATGGAACTTGAGTTTTAACATATTTGCAGCCAATTCACTTTGTCTTCTGAGGAAACAATTTCATTAATTTGTAGATCAGTTAAGATATCGTTCTCTCTCCAGTGAGCAAGTGGAAGCCAGAATTGGGATTTTCATATGTGAGTTTTAGTTTGTTACAATCTCTTCTGGAGAAAATACACTGTCAACTTAATTATCAGGGGAAAAAGAAAAGATTTTTGTTGAGGATGGAGTAATCCACATAATAATACTGTAAGTACTTGTGACAGACATTACATAGAACTGCAGTTGGTATGGGAGGGAGTTTGTGTATACTTTCTGTATTCTAATTAATAAAAAAACACACCAAGTGTAGTTTCAGGTAAGATGTGTGCCAAAAGCCTGCTGACTGATAAATTTTATAGGCAGAATGGGTTAAACAGCACTGAAGTTCTCCATGATCTAGGGATAAACAGGAAGCTGCCTGTGTAACTTGCATGCCAGAACACTAGCACAGCAAAGAAGGGCTACTGCCTCAGCTGCTTTTCTTCTTGTCAAACAAGTTTGTTAATGGTGGAAATCTCTGCTCCTCTACAAGTTTATAGCTCTCTTTTTTTACTGTCATCAGTATCCAAGAAAATGTAACACTGCCTGAGGTGTAGGGAGGATGAGGGAATAGACGCTTTTGTGGGACACAATATGGAAGTGTTAACTTGCTGGGATTGTTGCACAATGTGTAACTATGTCATAAAATAGCTAGATCTGACTTTTCCTTCCCTAGCCTACCTTTTTATTTCCATTGCCGCGCATGAAGTTCACTTGTGAGGGACTTTATTTTATGCCCTAAGCTGTCAAGGGAAATTCCTCCTTTCCTTCAATGTTGATGTAATCCTTCATAATGCTGTGGTGACTGTGGGAGTTTTTCAGTCCTATCATTCCACCTGTGGTGCTAGTAGAAATGACTAGTCAGGTAAACTTTAGCTGTTTGGTCATGATATGTGTGTTGGGGGTTTTGATTAGGAGTAGAATGGGTAGAAAGAAGGGGAAGAAGTGTAGGTACTCTTAGATGTTCTCTGCAGATTGTCCAAATAGGAACTTCCAGTGGGTTAAGCAGGGCTACAGCACCCCTCCAATATGGGAAAGGTGAAATGGTGATATGTAGTTAATAATTTACTGCTAGTGTAACACTTCATGTAAAACTCGTTTCCCCCAGCTACTGTCCTGTTTTCTGTCAGCTCTCAGATGGAAGCAGAGTTAAACTGATGCAGCCACTACTTGGTTTGCTTCCTAACCAGAGACTGTTCTGGGGAATCCTGCTGCTGCTCCCCTGGAAAATGCAGAAAGCAATGAAAAGCCTGGTATTCCAAAGACAAAAGACTGTTTGTTGCCAGTAACAGTACCATAGCTAGCAATACCTTCACATACCCTGTATTGCAGCCAACAGCAATGGTGTGGCAGTACTCTTTACTGATACAGGGGAAGTTTGATAAGCCCACAGGATTCATCTGGCCTTTTCTCATTTGAAGGGGACCAGGCTTAGGGCTGAATTTCTGGTTTTAATCAGCAGGGGTTCCTCAGGTGAGGTATAGTTTAACTTTGTTCAGCTTGTTGATACACTGTCAGAAAAGGGATGATTTGCTATTAACTTCTAAACTTGTATGGCAGTCAGTGGAATATGGCTAATTGCACAGTTTTAAACTAATAGCTCTGAATTTTCAAAATCTTGAATGGACTAGTGATATCCTAGTAGGTTGGAGAATTCCAATATAGAGTCCACTGCTTGTCAGAAACAAATTAGCTTCATCTAGTCATTTATGCAGAGAATGTGAGTATTTTTACACCAGAGTATTTTTCTCCAAAATACATGGCTCTTCTCCAATTGGCTTGTAGGAGAATTTGTCTTCTAGCTTGCTGCTACATGCTTCCAGCCAGGAGAGTTGGTTTTGTCTGCTGCTTTAGTCAGGCAACGCTAAACACCTCTACAAATTTAAAAAAATATTTTTAGGGTTGGGCAAAAAAGTCCT